CCCCTGTGTTTCACCAATTGCCCCGTCGAGCCCCCTTCATTCCCCCCTTGTGTTTCATCCATTGCCCCCTCGAGCCCCCTTCATTCTCCCGTTGTGTTTCACCCATTGCCCCCTCGAGCCCCCTTCATTCCCCCCTTGTGTTTCACCCATTGCCCCCTCGAGCCGCCTTTATTCCCAAGAACTGGAAGAGGATGCAAGAAAACGCTGTTCAGAAGATGAATTGCTTGAGATCCCCAAAACAACACATCAATTCCCCCAATCTCCCACCACCCGCGCGCATGCGCGCACGCGCGTGCGCGTGCGTTGGATTCACCTCACGGCACTTGGCGCCATGGTGCCGATCGGCCGAGCACGCTGTTGGGGTCTCCCAGCGACCGAGGGTCAAGTGGGAGGAGTGTGTGGAGCGATCCAGAAGCAGCGAAGCGGAAGAAGGTGATGCCCTTTTTGTGGCTTGTGCGGATCAGGTCATTCATGGTGATGTATATTGTTGTGTTTTTTTCTCGAACTGGGCGCATCCCCTTTTGGAGAATGTTCATGGTTCCTTGAGCAAATCCAAGTAGAGGATTTCTATGGATGCCTTCCTCGATGCCAAATTTGTTAACTACTGAACCATGATTCTTTTCAGGGAGTGTAACGGAGTAGATGGCAAAACTCATAGAATATACTCCTTATACTGACCTAAATAAGAGACATGTTGGGGTAAGAAGCTTATCAATCCCCTTTGGGACGGGGAAAGGACATCTCTCGTTTGAATCCGGTGGACCTTGGGGTCTGTTGGGGTCTTGTCTCTTTTGCCACGCAGACGGGGTCCTTTCCCAGCAAACATCAACACGAGACACACACACAAACACAGCGGCATGCTGCCGTGCCACAGATTTCGGGAGGCTGGAAGGAATCTACCTAGTCAGGGATGTCTAGAACAAAAACACGCACGAACATATCCCAGACACTCCATGTATGGCATATTTGCCTACGTTGACCCCGCAAACCACCCAACTGATCGGCATGTATGGTATACATGGAGCGTCTGGGTATACCATACCATGCTGGCTTTCCGAGAACTGTCGGCCGCGGTGGAACGGAGCGGAGGCTGGTCGGAGACGGTGGAGGTCCATGGAGGCGAGTCCGATGGTTTGGCAATGAAGAGTTCCAGTGGCCTACTACCAGGACCATCCAAGAGGTGCCTATAAATAGCCTCTTAGAGGTAAAGGGGGTGTCCAAAAACCAGTTGGAAGGTCCTGGTATAAGGGAGTTCAGTGATGTTTGGTGGTCAAACCTGAAAAATACAAGAACGGTTCTTGTTTGGAGTATGGGATATGATGGGATCATACTGAGAGACATCGGTTCTGAACAACCCGAAGCTTTTGTTGGGAGTATCGCGACTAGTGACTAGGATCATACTCTGAGAGGCGTTTGCTCTACCCGAACGGGGGAGGATTGGTTTTGTGAACGTTTTTTGTGAACCTTTGACGCTCCAGGGAAACGTCTCGGGAGAATGGTTTGCAACAGGACTCACCTTCTGCTTTGAAAGGAGTTGAAAAGGTCAACATGGATTTTCATCGATCAACTCCCGAAAACCAATCGATGAACCCGGGTCGAATGGCACCACAAAAAACACGGCCTCCTCCGCTACAAAGCAGCAGTGGTTTTCAAGGTCCATGGCCCATGGGATCGATCTGTCCACCTGGGACACCCATCGCCACGTGGACGTGACCGTGGTCCAATTCTGTCCACAGACACCACAGCGGGTAGCATGCCTGGCTGGAATGACTGTTTTTGTACTAAACGGCAGGTTAGACTCAGTTCAAGAGGCGTGGATTGTAAGATCATACTCCCAGGAATTAGGCCATGGCATGTGAAACATGTGCAGGCTCCTCATTCTTTATGTCATCAGATGCTGTGATTTGTCAGAGTGGACACAGTGAGATTAGATTCACACTAGGCAGCTTTTATAAACATGTGTTTCTTTCGGATAGCTTCTTTGAGATTCTGATCGTCGTTTTTGCCACAGCCCTGGGTTCCGTATGACTGTAGTCATGACTTTGACTGAAAGACCAAACCTAGGAAGATCAGCACCCTACAGTGGATGTTGCGACTTGAGATATCCCTGTAAGAAGGGGTCACAAGACAGTGTGGTGTTTGGTCCCATCCAGTGAGTGGATGTTCTGGGCACCCCTAAGCTCCAATAGGCACCCCGTCTTGTGACCCCTGGTAAGAAGGCACTTTTCCTGCAAATCTCTAGGGGTGACGATGTTCCCTTTTCTCATGAACATGACCTCCTTGTCAATCCATGATCTCCAAGGCTAGCCTTTTCTGATCATGTCTTTCACCCTTCGAATCCCCCGCGGACTATGCTCAAACGCGCGAGCTTCGTGTTGGTCAAGCTGCCAGGCCCATCAGCACTGCTGATGTTGGTCAAGCTGGTGCCACAGTTGAGCCACAACCATCTGCAGAAGGCGGGCGCTCCACCGGCGATTTGCGACACGCGCGCAAGAAGAGCGAGGCGGAGCCGGGCAGAGGCAGATGTACTCTTTGTGTTGCAAGAGGTCTCCCTGCATCTGAGCTCAACTCCCTTCCCCTTGTTCCGCAAAGGATTCATGTTCAGAAAAGGAGAAAAAAAACAAAAACAAAAGGAACAAAACGAAATCGCAACAACTCAAGCGCTTGTTGAGTGATTCGTCCTGCATGAAAACCGCCAACTTCCGCCCCATGTTGTGATGTAATGAAACAATCTCTCCCGGACGGGCCACCTTCTCAAAGGTGTGGGCGACGGAATCGTCAAACTGCAGAGTCACAACGCAGAGGCCGCGTATGTGAGCTGGCGCTTCGTGCCGCTGGTAGCCCAAGTGGCGCCGCCGCCGGTTGGGGGAGGCGGCCCCGGTTTGGAAGGGGACCAGACGCGCCACCTGATGGGCTCAATGCTTGGCGCTATCAACAACTGAACAATCAGCAACGACATGAGCAGTAATAGGTGCTGTTCCCCGGCACCTACGATCTGCTCCTTTACGTGCTTACCGGGGATGACATGGAACAGTGAGATGAGACGGAGCACGTTCTGCTTTTATAGCACAGCATACGATGTCTTGTTTGACGCAATGCTTGTTGCACTCCTGTGATGTCTTTGCTAGGCACTTTGTGCTTGCAGATGCTTTGTGCATTTCAGTGTCGACTTTCATTTCCTCGAATTCTCCCAACTTCGCTTTGCTTTCCACAACAAATTTTTGCATGGTGCTTGGCTTCGAACAGGCGCAGACGTAGGTTCATCAAACCTTGCCGCAAGATTGGCAAACGCAGAGTTCGTTTCAAGCGTCGAAGACGTTTGAGCTTTGCATTATCCGATTCTTTTCAACTCAAGTGTTTTTCCCGAGTGCGTAGCGAAGGGTTCTCGTTTAACTCTGGGGGTCTGGGGGTAGAGCCTTGTTCGCGACCCGTTGTTTCTAAGTTCGCAACCGTCCGCAACCGTTCGCAACCGTCCGCAACCGTCCGCAACCGTCCGCAACCGTTCGCAACCGTCCGCAACCGTCCGCAACCGTCCGCAACCGTCCGCAACCGTTCGCAACCGTCCGCAACCGTCCGCAACCGTCCGCAACCGTTCGCAACCGTCCGCAGTAGGACGCTAAGGCGCTGCCATTGGGGTAAGCTTTTGGAGAGGGTTTCGGATGAAAACGTGACGTGTCAGATTCGTGTGAAATAGCGAGGAATCGTGTGGAAATGTAAGATGTTGAAGTGAGGAGGATGATTTCACTGCACAGGCGCAGCGTTTTGTGAGATCTGCAGTTTGCTGCGCAGTTCCATTGGGATTAGCGTTTGGAGAGTCGTGTTTTTGGGTGTTGGATGTGGCCGTGCCATTGGGATTTGTGTTTCAGGGTGTGGCATCGAAGCTCTGTTTTCGTGAGGAGTCTCAGCCGAAACGGCGATTTTGGTGGATGGGAGTGTGCTCAGAACGGGTCGAAATCATTCCAAACGTGTGGTGTGGTGCAAATTTTGCTGAAGCTCACATGAGATGTAATATTGTCACTTTTCGTATTTTTCGTGGCAGGCGCAGTACTTTGTGCGCGTTAGACGTGTGGACGCGGAAAGATTCGTGGCAGGCGCAGGGAATCGTGAGGTTGTGAGTTGTGGTAGATGTGGGCGTCGCTGTCACATTGGGATTGGCGTGTGAGCGGGTGTGGTTTGGAGGGGCTGGAACCGCGAAACTGCTTGGCAGGGCTGCGTGATGTGTGTACCCCGATGGGTGTTTCCGCTTGACTTTTGGAGGAAGTCTCGTACGAAACGCTCGTTTTGCAGACTTTGACATGTGAGTTTTCGAGGAAGTCTCGTACGAAACGCTCGTTTTGTGGGCAAATGAACAGGGCGCCAGTACTTACTTTCTGTACACAGAGGATGTTGCAATCACCAGAGGGCATTTAGATGATACATGATGCCCCCTGCGCACTAATTGCAACTTCCCCGTTTTGCAAGATCCATATCGCCATCGAAACCATTTCAAAGTGGTCGAGCTCTATCTATTTAGTTCACAGTCATGGTTAGAGTGGCCAAAACTTCAAGACGTTGAAAAGCTCCTCTGCCTTTGCCCTCGAAGAACTTCGAAGCGAAGGCCCTGGAAATCGACCGGACAGAAGCCAATTTCACTGAGCATGCTGTGTTTGAGATGCGTCAAATTATCCCAACAGCCTGTCGTGGAATGCCTTGATTCCATCTTGCCTGGAAGATTCGGATAAGTTGCGGTGATCATTCAAAGCTGAATAATAGAGAAACGCTTGGGGGGAGGGAAAACAGAACCTAGCTCGATCTGCAATCGCTGAGATTTACGTTTTTTTCAGTGGACATTTAAACTTCCATGCAGGAGTGGCCGAAAAACAATTACGGAATTTACCGTCCAAATGACGGAAATCACCGGAAAAATTGCGGAAATTGCCGGACACGGCTTGGATGTTTTGAATGTATAAATTTTTGCTGTTTCAGGGGCCTCTGGTACATTGGTACATGCAGGTTTCCTTTGATGTGGCCACGCCTGCTCCTATCAACTCCTTGGCTTCGAGCTGCGCCACTCTGTGTGAGGTGAGGGCTTTGAAGGCACGCCCTGCCCGACACATGATGTTGCGCAGCGCCCTGATGAGGAAGACACCCTTCTCCAGCAGTTGCAGGAGCAAAGCACAGCTAACTCGCTGTAGTAGTTGTTTCGATTCCTTAAGAGGGGCTCGCACTGCGTTACAGGTTGTGTATGACTTCGGCCCAAACGCCAAATTTTTCTCACACCACTTTTGAGACGAGAGAAATTGTCAAACTGTCCAAATTTTGCGTGTCAGTTAAATGGCATTGTGCAGCCAACAAAGTTCTTATTATTGGGAGAATCAGCCGTGTCAGTAGACAGGTTGCAAACAAGCAGGTGATCCTAAGGGCCATCGAAAGGTACGGTGTATCCTTGCACTTTCGCCGGAACCAACTCAAACAGCCTAAGTTTAGGTGAAAAACTACCTTTTGGTGTAAGAAGAGGCTGGATTTAGGATTGGAAGCAGCTGAAAAAAATGAATATTGCATACGCTCCACTGGCTTGATCGTAGCAACTACAATTTTACAAAACAATGACGTTTCTTGGCTGAGATGACCTTTTTTACCGGAAAAGAACACGATTACATTTTTTTGCATACTTGGGTTTTCTAGGTAAGTATGCTGCTATCATTTTAAAAACTAGTCCTCTGACGGATCCCGAGGTTTTTCTTTTGCAGCAAGTGCTTACCCAGATTTGGCAACAACATATTCGAAGATTTTATTCTGAAGATCTTAATGATCAACCTCCGAACAATCCACCTGCGCCTTCCTCTTCTACCGATGTTGTTCGTGACTCCAATGGGCATGCTTTGGCCCCAAAAGAAAATGGGGGAATGTGGTGTCGCAAGTGTGGCAGGCACGTCTCCAACCTGAAACATATCCGATTAAAAATCACTAAATCCAAGTGTCCTTTTGCACATAAGACGCCGGCAGAGTACCTCAGCACTCCTGGACAGATGACCAGTGAGCATCGCCTAGATGTAGCATTCACAGAACTTTTGACTAAGTATAATGCCGGTGGCCATAGTTTAAGCTGGAATCGTAAACTTGGAAAAACTGCTGGTCCCAATGAGGGACTCATCACCTGTTCGCAATGCAATAGTTCGAACTTGGAAGTGGAAGGATCGTTGCAACAATTTAAAAAGGACAACGTGTATTTTGTCTTCTACCTCTTCCGCTTCAGCTACAGCTATTCCCAAAGCTAAATCGCAACCTACTACGCACCATTGTCCCATTCGACGCATCACGGGCAAACAATCTGCCACCGATGTAGTTTCTGAGTTGACACACCGCACGGGCATTGGTTGAGTGCGGCAAAACGGAGTTCCGAGGTTTGTGCTTGGCTACTCCTACAAGCCCGAACTCTTGGGACCCTCCTGGCACCTACGTTAAAAACACGACATCACCCTCACAAAGGGGCAGTGTAGAAGCCTCAGTAAAACACGTGTTTCTTAAGTATTCAGGCCATGACATCAATGCTGAGTGACCAGGAATCCATTTCAATCCATTTCATAGGCTATTGTATTTAAATATACAATCATCCTGGAGTAGATAGAATGGACGAATTGTCAAAAAACAATTCACTAATCAAAACCGGCCCTTCCAAACCCCATAGATAGAATATGGTTGTAGGGGTTTCTCTTCCTTTTCCTTTGTTGTCCTTTTCCTTCTCTGTTCGTTCTATGTTCTTTCGTCCTAAAGAAAAGTAAAACGCAAGGAAAACTTAGATAATACACATAGGAACAGACCATGAAAATAACAAAGGAACAAATACCGGAATGGGAGGAGTTGATAAGAATCTTATCACTATATTCTATCTATAGGGTCAGTCTGTCTTCATACAATGAAAGGGATGTCAAAAACATTGAGTTTTTCAAAAGGAAAAACACCCCCTACGAAAGTAGATTCTATACGCCAGGATGATTATATATTGAGATGTTATAAAACATTCTCAAACCTCCAAATAGACTCCATCTCCAAGTCCTGACTCGGAGAGGCTGGCTCTCCACACAGATCCCGGTCTCCCCGAGATCGGGCGACCGCCAGGCGACAGCGGAGCTGGTGTCGAATGCCGTGCGACTTTGTCAAGACCGGAACCACCGCGTCTCGACGGTGTCGCGTCCTCGCGGCGAAGCGGCGCCTGCTTGGTTCGGGAAGACATCGACGCCCAAGTGACCTGTGGGCGTGGCCATTGGACACCATCATGGTGTTACACCTGGGGGCTGTAGTAGTGTGTTTGGGGGGTGTATGGCATGGTAGGACTCGTAGGTCGGCCACATGCAGCGATTTTTTTTGGGGGAAAGGGCCTGAATAGGCTCACCCAATATCATCAGTGGAGTTGGGGAATTCTATGGAATTCTACTTTACCTAGACAAATCAACTATGTATGACTCGAAAAGGAGTCCATGAATGAGAACCCTTTGGGTCTTTCTACTCAGCTCCGAAAGAGGTGATGTTCCCAAAATGAGTGGACCAACCGTTCCCTGATATTGCTCAAGAATCGGGCCCTCAAATTTTGAGGGATCGGACCCCTCCTGTGGAGGGTTTGACCTTTGCTAGGAAGTGAGTTCAAGGCCAATGATTCTTAGGGTTGAACAGATTCCTTTTAAACCACCTTACAGGTTTCTATTGTGTGTTGCAGAATCTCATCGGAGGTTTATCTACAGTCCCACGGCAACACCACATCCCCTCAAACTCTTGGCAACGTTTTTCCTCTGAAACTACATGGTAGTGAGCAGTGAAGATGTTTTTCCTGTCTGAAAGATTGAGATTTTGTGCAGTCCTGGGCACGAACAAGACAAGAAGTGTGGAAGTGTCAATTTTTGTCATAGCAGCCATGGTTTAGTTGACTGGTCCTCTTATGATTGGTCCTTTTACATCCCTTTACCTCTTTACCAACAGATCTTTGAGGTACTCTACCCAGCAGATCCCAACAGCGGTCAGCTCCAACAGCTCTTCTTTTGCTCGTCAGGAGCAGGTGATCGGTTGTGTGAAGTTGCTCATCCAGGCAGCTTAGCAAAATGCCAAGAGTCATGCGGTTTGACACTTTGTTTCGGTGTTCTTCTCTTTCACAAGTCCCTTTGCTTTCACGGTCACACTTCCAAAGGTGACCCGTGTGTTCGTTTTCATCTGCAGTAACAGTCCGGAAAATGGCGGGGTCCGATGAATGTTAGGTTTGGGCCCTCCGGTGGGGTATGTTCATGCCATGCCGTGCCGGTTCATCACTTTTCGCTTCGAAGGATCCGATGCGTCGCATGCCGTTACGGACCTGACGGGCACCTGGACCGTTAAATGGACGCAGTGGTTGAGAAGGAGTCAGTCTATGGTGAAAAGCATTCAATACATGTGTATGTTTCACAGATCAGTGAGGGTTTTCCAGTCGTTTGGATTGGGGATTCTTAGGATGTGGACTGGGAGGTTCACAGGAAGCTCTGGCCACAGTATCCATATCCTCAGAAGAAGCTCAGAAGAAGATCATGATGGGGTTCCCAGAAAGAACTCTCAACCCATAATTAAAACATTCCTTCATACGACCCATTCCGGACACCACTTTTTCGCACAGGACGGCACCTGGCACGAAATCCGAATGTATTCGATGTTTTCTAACCACCGCATCCGCCAACCTTCCGCAACATCGGTCTTCCCTCTTCGGAACCAAACCAACCACCGCCAACAGCGTGCACAAAAGCCCGCCGACACCCGGTCCGGCTTCGGCGATCTTCGGCGTCCAGGCGCTCATCTCGAAGCAAAGCCCGGAGTTGGCCTTAGACGCTGCCTGGGCGCTCAACGAGATGGCTTGGGGCACCCAGCACCGGAGAAGCGAAAGAGATGGACGCACGACCTCGTGGAGGACGCACTGCAAGTGATTCATGGAGGGTGGCTTGATTGACTTGGCTTTAAAGAGATGGACCAAAAACGTAAAGAGGTGGTTGACATTGCAGTTTTTGCGTGTGGGTTTAGGGTTATAGGGAGTGTTGTGGGTAGGATGCTTGATACTTTGTCGGGCAGGTAGTTTGGAGTGATTCCAGGAGTGTAAGCTGTTTCCTCCCATTCTGCGACACGAGTTTGGACAAGACATCCTGCACAACCTATAGCTAACAGAATAGAATTATTTGCAGGAGGGCAGATCCAAAATCTCACATGGTCCACTCTTGCTTCATCTCTTTTTCCATCAACACCCCTTCGGTATGCGTTTTCTTTCACAACTCCACCTATGACCCTCCAAGGGCCTGTCGGGGTCTCCAATATAGACTACTAGCCTAGCTGTAGGCTGTATACCATCCCCTTGGAGGCTCCTGGTAGGGCGTTCCTTCCTTTCGCCCCCGGTGCACTCGGCCGAGGCGCACAACAATCCGCTGGTCTCCGGGTGGATTCGGGACGCGGGTGGACAACAGGCTCTGCAAGAGTCCTTGGTGGCGCCGACACTCAGCGTGGGGGTTTCTTTGAGAGGAAGAGTCAGGGCCAGCTTTTTGTTGAAAGCTTAAACACTTTAGGGAATCAAGATACCAAGAAAACGTGAAATTTCATAGGGGATGAAGAGATGAGGAAGAGATGAGGAGCAGTGAACTCAATGGAGTGGGCCTGCGTCTACACGGGGCGGGTGAGTGTTTTGTGATATGTTGGGAGGGATCACGTCATGTCTCGTGAATATGTATTTCATAGTCGTAGTAATTATGGTTATTTGGAATGCATGTGATTTAAGATTTGCACCATGATTCACATCGGGGATGTACTGAGTAAAGTGAGAAACATTGAGAAACCCTTCTATTGGTGCCTGCACCAGTCGGTGTAGCCATTTGGGCCCCGCCTAGCCGTGATTTTTAAGTAAAGAGGCTTTTGGTGACCGCATGACCCCACTGTTCCAGGGTGGCCCAATGTGTTGGGGCCCAAAAACATGTGTTCATCATTTCAGCGACCTAACTCTTACTTCAGATTTGACATAATTAGCAGATATCAGCAGATTACGACCCAACGACCTACAACATATATAATTCAACCAGATGGTCTGGTGGAGCATGATTTGTGCAGGGATTTCAAGAATTGACCCCTAGGGCCCCTAGGGCTGGCTTACCTCCGTTCAGGTTCGGTGGTGGGTTTCCGGTATCGGTCCCGGTTGGAGCCAGAATGGAGTCCAGGAGTTCCAAACGGGTGGGTTTTAGACCGTGATTTGATCATGGGCACACCTATCCTCCATTCAGCACCCTTTTGGAACTGCCGGCTGAACCGCGAATTTGCGGGCAGATTTTCACTCAAAGACAGATATTTCAACCAAACAAGTTCGATCGACGTCACTCCACTGACGCGTGGTGAAGCCGTCCACTGAGGTGTACTGCTCTCACAGGGAGCACGTTGACTGCTGCATTTGGTTGTTGCGTTCCATGCCTGCAAGGTCCTGTGGGCCTGTGTGAATGGTTGATGTTGAAATTTCCGGGGTTCGGTGTTTGAGAAACATGTTAGTTTGCCCCAAATCTTGCAGCAATTTGTGGTGTTCAGCAACTCAACATGGCGAGCCAAATGAGATTTCCAACGTGTGTACCATTGAAGGGCGTTTCTTGCTTCTTGCCAGTGCTTGCCTGTCACCCAAGGCATGATTGGAGGGGTGCACGGTCTTCTCCAACTTCTCCGACGCTCAGCGCAAAGTAGAGCAGATTGGTGAGAGGTCGGGGGGGAATTTCCGACGCAGGCGTCCACCACGATGGGACTGGCATATGAAACCCTACTTTTGGAGTGGTTTCAGGACTCAATAGATGCCTAGGGCTCCTGGCCCACATCCTCAGAAGGTATGGAGAGGCCCCCCTGGCAGCCACCCCCAACCACCTTCGGTTCGGACTATTCCTGTCCAATATAATGTTGGGGTCACCCATAACCCCAGCTGGCCTAGTTTGTTGTGAATGGTGGTGAGGGAAGTGTACGAAAGTCGGCGCTTGGAGTGACCAGAAGTCGATCGAGTACATGTTAATTTGGTAATTACTCTGGGGCCCACCCTGACGGTGGTGGTCCCTCAAGGCATGGGCAATCTTCAGACCCTTTCCAAGCCGAAACCTTGTGTGAGGTCATCATGGTCATCTGGTTTCGCGGAGTGAGTAGGACGCTACTAGGGGCTCCTGGCCGTACTACTAGGAACAAGAAGCTACTAGGGGCTCCTGGCATCGCTACTAGGAGCAAGGACGCTACTAGGGGAGTTATAGTCAGCAAGTTCAACACTGTCCGGGACTGTTCTTCGCAAAAGGGTGGAATCGACATGATGTTCCGTCTTGCTTTCGGATCGGATCACCAAGCTGGGGGTGCTCGTGAAGGCCAAAAGAGGGCCAAAAGAGCTTGGGTCACAATCCTCTAAGGGCCCCTTTGCTATTGTGTTATTGTAAGGGCATGCAGGATCTACTCAACTCATTGGCATTGCATTTCGTTGAACCTCTTGACTGACTGATCCGCTGGTGCGACATCACCGTCTGCTCAGAAACGGAGCCACTTCCGGCAGAGGCCACTTCTGCGAGTGTAAGCGCTTGGTGTTTGGCCAGTGGAGAGGTTGTGAGAGGTTTTGGGTGAAAGATGGTGAAAGCGAAGGAACGGAAGACGCGGGGAACCCCATGGCAACAGCATTGACTTCTTTTGTGAGCGGCTGAGACCTGTGAGCGATCGAATCTCCCGGCACAAGGTGATGTCAGACCAGTCGCCACAATTGAGTCTTTGAGTCCTGCGTCGGCATGAGAGCTGTATCACGAGCAGAACAAGGAAGACATGGAAAACCGAAGGAACCAACGGAACACCCAAGGAAGAGATCAGTCCGCAAGTTACGGAACACCAAAGGAAATCAAAGGAAGACATCATGCACATGTACTTGTCTTCTTGTTGAGCGTATTTTGTGGGTTGTGAACACATGAATGAATCCAAACAACAAACCCTCTCTGCCCACCCTGAGTTTCATCTCTTTGCCTTCGACATCATGTCTAAATATGTCTCGGTGTTTTCTTGGAGCTCCGTTCGGCCAACCAGTTGGCCACACCAGCCAGCTCCCGGATCACGCTCCGCTCAGCCAGCTCCTTCGCTGTTCGCCTCCTTCGCCTCCAGAGCTCGCCCGGGCGGCGCCAGGTCTTGCTGGCGCTGCTGCAGGTGCTTCGGAAGGAGCGATGCCCAGGGCGCGATGCTGGCGTGCGGTTGGGTTTTTGCTTGGTCGAACGGTGAATAGGAGCTCGTATGTCGGGGTCGGGTGGGAGAGAAGCACGGTTTGGAGTCAGAACGGGAATCCTGCTGTTCATCCTGTTTCATTGATGCTCGTCTCTTGGACTAGAAGAGATGGTGAAGAGCCGTTTTCTGTAGCAAGGGTGGTGGATCTGGATATTTGTTGGCCGAAATCAACGCATGTTGTCTTGACCGACGGTGTTCCTGTTACTGTATCTCTCCACTGCGGTCTGCGGTCGTTCTGTCGGACCAGAATCTATACCCATCCTGACTGAAGAACCACCTTCTCAAAGCGATGGCATTTGGCATCATTTGGCACATCAATTACATCAATTTATTAGTATACTGCATACTCTTGATTCATAAACCCCCAGACATGGATTGTAAAACCTCATGAAATGTTGTTGATGTTTGTCAAGAGTCTATATCCATTTACATTAGTAGGGTCAGTATTGTGTCCCACCCTGTCCCACCTGGGACCAGGAACCATCTGTTCCATTCCGAATTCCAGCACCTTCCAGCACCGAGAACACCTGGCTGGAAGCCCTTTCACTATTGATCTCCAGACAGGACCCCCCCGGGTTGGTCGGGGTTGATCTTTTCCGTGTTCCTGGGGCCACGGAACGCGGCCAATTCCAGGCCTTTCCATCCACTCGCCCAGGACAACACCTGCTGGCGCAACAACCAGGGCCCACTGGACGAGGTACGTTCGGGGTCCGATGGGACCGGGAGACACCCGGGTCTCGCTCCGTAGACGGGTCGACCTGTTCCGGAAAACGAACCCAGGGGGGCGTTGCGTCGGTCTCCCTAGTTGAGCTACACACCCGTCTGAGCTATTCTTTTTTGAGACAAAGGTGAAGGAGGAGGATACATTGGCCATGGATCAGGTCGCAGGTACCTGTACCTCGGAGAGTCGAACGTCAAGACCATAAGAGAAGGGTCTCTCTGGGGGCCAAAGGACTTGGATCCAGGATGGTTCTGGGTCCTTAGGGTATGTTCATGAAGAGCAGATGGCTATCCAGGGGACACGCAACTTTTGCAAGACCCGAGGACACTGGATATTTGTGGATTCCCGAATTCGTCCTACGTAGTTCCACATTGGCTGATTGTGCGACATCACTTAAGGAATCTCCTCATGGTTATACTCTTTCACCACAGTTGAGTTCTTTGATCAGAATTAACAATCCGTGCCACCTGAGCAATTCGCAGCATTTGATGCTCAGCATGTTATGCACAAGAACACCACTTCACAAGAACACCACAAGGCCCTTCCCGAAGGCAAAGGCCAGGCGGTCTCTCCGTGCCAGCCTTTCCGTGCTTTGCCTCTCCCCTCCGAGCTTGGAAGCCACCTGACCTTCGCCAGATGCCAACCGCGCCACGTTGATCGGTCGCCTCTGTCGGGTGGTCTCGATCCCAGCCAGCGATCCCAACATCTTCCCCCCCCCCCTCCGAGGGTCAGGGTGACACATGAATCTCACCTGCAGCTGGTTAAAAAGAGTGACACATCGCCACAGCAACTGGTGAGTGGTTCTGGCATGTTCTGGCCAAGAAAGAGATTCTCCAGATGCCAACACTGGACACCTTGCGTCCGAGAGAGTCCGTCTTGTTCCGTCCAGGCGCCTCAGCTACTGCGCTGCTGCGCGCAGCGCTTGGCGCAGTGTGGTCAAGCGCCCCCGCTGCTGCAGGAGGCCTCGGCTCTGCTGCAGGAGCGGTGGATGGTGGATATGGTGGGGCTAGTGAAGCGCGGGGGTTCAGGGGAGCGACCGGCCGGAAGGGAACCGGGGGAAGGGAGCGGAGTTTAGAAGAGTGAACCTTTGTGGGTGGATTCCATATTCTGACAGGTACGGAATTGGATGAGAAGGCCTGTGAAGTCAATTGAGTGGCAAAAATTGCACGTACATATACATCTTCCATCCATTTTTCGTCCCTATTCCTTCGCGAAGACAGGCAGGCGGGTTGCGGTTCCTCACATACCGTCTGGAGCCGGGTGAGTCGATCCGACGGCTGGGTCGACTTGGTCGACTCTTCCAAAAGCTGTAGAGCCAGCCGTGCAGTCGACGTGGTCGAGTGTGTCATGATCTCAGTGGAGATGGGAGAAAGGCCTGCAGACGGGAACACCATTGCCCTCTGGTTGACGGAATTTCTACATGCATATTGCATATTGAAATGCTAAAAGACATGAACAAGGACGCTACTAGGAGCAAAGGGCATCGCTACTAGGAGCAAGTGCCTTACTACTAGTAACAAGAAGCTAGTAGAAACAATAAATGCTACCCAAAGAGTTTTCTCCATGGTTTCCTGAACCGAACTGACTTGTCCATGAACACTGCGGGAAAGCATCGAAAAGAACCCAAGCCAAAAAGCCATCGACCGGTGGTGCGACCGAGAAAAAGCCATCGCCCGGTCGCCGAGTTGTTTGGCACCTCAAAGGACCTTCTGATTCGCCCTCCACCTCCTGAGGGTATAACTGGACCCTCCTGGCACCCGGGCCCCCCCCGTCCCACCGAACCTCAGGTTAGTATGACTGGAGGCCGCCCCCGGTCAGGAGGGTTGTCCGGGGTTTTGGACCCTCCGGACCCGAACCAATCCTGGTCTTGCGGGACGACGGCTCTTGGGCTGTGAATCAACGGAGCGTCTGGGTGTGAGCACAGCCGGCAGCCGCTGTTTCAGGGGAGGTGAAAAGGGGTTGATGAAATGATGTTCAACATGACAAGTCGGGTTGATTTTGGGGGTCCGAACCCAATCTTTGGTCGACCAGAAAGTGTTGTCGGTGTTTCAATTGGTTTGTATACATGTTTGTATCATTTTGTATCCATACGCCACGCATTCCGTGAGACTGGAACATATGCATACATTGAACCCTGAAAACACCCCAATGACCCCAATATATGTAAATATGTCATAGATGGAGTGTTTGTGTACTGCACAGACCGCTTCCCAATGCTCCCATGGGATTTCAAGAAGACCAATCACTTCGCTGCGAATTTCAAGAAGACTGCCTCTTCAGGAGATGTCTTTAGAGCCCTTGCTGGGCCAAGAATTGCTCGTGATGGGCGGCACGCAACTCATGTCTTTGACCTTGCAGATGGCTGTCCGCTGCCAGGACGACAAACAGACGTCTTTCGCCGCGGACCGTCTGGCCACTCCGCGTTTTTGTTGGCCACTCCGTGGGACCCGTTCGGAGCCTCCGGGAGGAGTTCCAACGAAGCACTGGACCTGCGAAACCCTGGAACTTGGACAAAGTTGAAGGGAATCATTTGATATGAATGTCTATCATACAAGCCACGGATGGTCAATCAGTTTTATGTCATATATATGTCTACTATTGTTTACTAATTGTTTACAGATGTTTGGGAATGGACATCCAAAAATCTCTTGGTGGAATTTTGTGGAGAAACTACAAACATCCTCCTTCTTTTGGAAACAACACAATTCTTGCACCAAGGCTCCACCCAGGAAAAGTGTACAGAACCTTTCACATTGTTTGGGACTTGGCTTCTGCACTGATCACTAAACTAAAGTAACGGGTGAACAGTTCGATTACTTCCCTACTATTCGGACCACATGGCAACCCCAAAACCACTGGGTTGGTATTCGGAAAATGGTCGAAACCACCGGTCAATTCTCAGGTTCCGTGTTAGTCTGAGGTGCGTTTGCCCGGTTTATTATGCCCAGCTCCATATGCCCATGTCCTTATGCCCTTCGGTATTGGTGTAATTGATTTTCCAACAAGTCCTTCTTATGGGGTCAGTGCTATAGACCTATATATTTCATCAAGAGCTTGGCTTTGCCGGACTTCGGTCTCGTGGTCTCGCTTCACCAGCCCTGGAGTCGAAGAAAAACAGGAACTGCGATCCAGAGGGCCACCAACTGCCACCAGTTCTAGAGGCTCGTGAGGTGTGATTGATTTAAAATAGTTTGTAATGATTTATGTGTTTCAGTATTTAAGTTATAGTGCACCATGGGTTACAGTTACAGACCAGCGCCGGAGCCACCGCCGGAGAGGTCTCCAAGCTAGGGCCCCGTGTTCTGTATTATTCAATCCTCACCAAACACAACTCCAACATCTAACTGTGGCCTCCATATGCCTCCATCCACTTCAAGCATCAGTCAATGCTCCACCCCCCCAAACTGGGACCCGCCCCGCACGCGGCGGTTTCAACCGCCGCGGTTTCCAAAGTGGAGCGGTCTCCACTTCGCATTTCGCAGATCTGTGGCGGTCTCCTCGTCAAGCCCAGTTTTCAGGACGTGGAGACAGCTCGAAGTTGTTGTAATATCTTGTGCTCCCTGGCGAAGGCGAGGTTTATGTCTATGCTACTTTGGGTCGAGCGATGGCAAGTTGTTTGGGTCGCTTGCTGAACTGGCCGCAAGTTGTGGGGGTGCCAGGGGCCAGGAATTCCCGGGTGATTGAGCTCCGAGGGTTTGGGTAGAGGAGCCCAACTGAAAAATTGTTTATCTTGGGGAGGTTGGAGGCCATCGCTACTGGGGTGGAGGCCATCGTTCAGTCCGGTTGGAGGCCATATCGCAAGTAGATTGTATATCTTGGGGCAAGATGTTTGGTTCTTGGTGCAGATTTCCATGGTATTTGGACGGGGTAAGTCAGACTACCCAAGTGTCTGGAGCCCCCTTTTCACGGTCGCCAAAAGGCATGCTGGATCGTTGGTTCGAGACACGGCTTTGCGAAGCATTTGGGGATGTGTCAGAATAGACCCTTAGAGTATCTGAGAGTCTACTCTTAGAACACGTCCTTTGCATTCTAGGCCCTTCTAGGCTGTACTTCATCCAGTGGTGCTCATTCAAATTCAAGAAGCATTTTGTTTGCGCAGGCTTGTGTTTGTCCTTTCATTTTCACTGTCGGCTCTCATTTGGAGGCAGGAGCTTTGACAGAATCTCCAAAACGCATCCAGTAACGTATCCCGATAATTCCCCATGGCCCACAGCTATTCCTTTGGCCCATGTTGGCGTTTTGCCCATCCCCAAAAGCAGCAGAACAACGCTCGGCATAAACGGCCCATGTTTCCGTCCAGGTGGGCCGTGTGGACAGTCAACACTATTTGAGGACCACTGAAGTACGGGAACCAAGACATACGAGACACTTTGCCCGCCTGCAGATGATTTTGGAGCGGCGCCGGCAGAGATTGCAGTCCAGTTCTTTGCCGAACATACCTCAATGTAGGAAGTCAAACAGACAGATAGATAGACAGATAGATAGTCGCTACGAAACATGTTCCAACACGTTTAGGGCCCCTTAGGGCCTTTGCAGCTGTGTATTTGTTCAGGATGTTCACTGTATACAACGATATCCAACGGATTGTTTTGGTTTATTTGTACATGTTTACATCCATGCTATCACGCCCATGTTACTCTTTGTTTGTTCAACCTTCTGTTTTTGTTGACGCACCCCAACCGAAGAGAATCACCGCGACCCCGCGGTCGCCGCAGCACAAGGTCCTACAGGCGCTGCAGAGTGCGGCACAGCTGGGCTCAGGTGGAGCGGGGCGGGGTGGTCGATTCACCGGTTCCACGTCCCGGTCGACCGGGTGTCCGGAGTCTGGCTCTGGTGGGCTGAAGAGTGTTAGAAGTGGGGATCGGTATGGACTTGATTAGAACAACCACACTCTCTAGCCGGTATGGTGAACTGGGGTCATGGATTAATCACCCCCCCGAGTTGAATTGAAGAACCTCTGACTCCAAGGGGGGGTTGATGGTCCTGACTCCGAGTCGTCATGGACCTGGAGTCATGGCACCGAAGGAGCCCGACCAGTCCACATCCCGCAACGAACAACCGTTGGACTGTATAGATAGGTATAGAAGGTAGGTAGGTCAACCGCAAGGTATCCTGCCATGACCCATGGCGCCAAGTGTGGAAAGTGGAGAGGATCAGAATGATCAGAAGAAAGGGATCGATCCTCGATCCCTTTCAACGGGCTTGCTGCAGGTTCTTGTACCCTCTCAGCAGTATGTGCCCATCTAAACTGTTTTTTTGTGTAAGATAACGTTCCATGAATCAAGCGCTGCAACACACTTTTCTGCATCCACCCCAGTGCAGTACAGTGGTCATCACTGTGGCGGTGAGCTGAGGGATATATTTTAGGAAATGGAAGTTATTTCAATCACAAATCATAGTAGCGTGGTTTACATAAAAGGAATTGATTTCAATCACATAAATTTCACACAAATTGTCACATCACTCACTGACCATCACCCCCTCTTCCCACCACCAGATCACCTCTTCTCATGCCCCTGCAGAACCCTCTTTCGAGTTCCACCACCCCCATAGCCATGACACCACCTGTGCCTTGGCTGCTTGCTCAGTGAGATGTGCCCTCTTGGGATTTGATGACCCCTTCCCCTCGATGTCAAAAGATCGGGAATGCGTGTTCCTTCCACGATGCTTGCAGCCAACTGGTAGCTGGCCTTGAACATAAGGGGATCCACTCCCTTGGTAGACCCCAAGCCGACAGCCAGGAGGTAGTTCAGCTTCAAGATCCACCTGTTCAGTCAACTGTTTGAAGTCAGATCCATTTGATGGTCCGCTGTTCGAAGAAGATGTTGGCAATGTGTCCTCACTGGAGCCCACACGCTGCCGCTTCTGCGGGGGCTCCTGCACACCCTCACCCTCCCCCTGCTTTTGATCGGTCTTCTCTGCCTCCATTTTGCCAAGCAGCTTGGCAAGCATCGCCGCCTCACACATTGCATCCTCACCAGCTTCACCCACATCCTTCTCACCATCATTCTCATCATCTTTGGCCTGGAGGAAAAACGTTCAGACGATAGATTCACATATAACTTATATATAAATTAGGTATATATATATATATGTATATATGTATAATTATAATGCAAAATATAACAGCTATCAAATCAAAGGTTTGTCCAAGAGAACGGTTTGTCCAAGAAATTTGGCCTTCGAAAACTTGGCCATAATCATGGCGATGTCCTCCTTGGAGTACCCCAAATGGCCCAAGATGCGTTCTGTTCGAAGACGGTTTGTCATATTCCCACTGCAATTGGGAACCTCACAAAGGCGAATGATGCCCTTCAAGGCTTCCATGCTGAGTCCTTGGAGCATAAACAGATGACAATGTTTTATACAGAGCATTCAAACAAAACTAAAAGTGGATTTGCGTGTACTGTCTACTACCGTGTAAAGCCAATGTTTCCTCACAGCCTGGAACACAATCAATCACCTGCGAAGTGTGTATAGTTAGTTGAAGTTGTTCAAATTCCTTGTAATGTTATTTTGACTACCCTACTGGACTCCTGTTGATTCACAAAAAATGCGATTCGAGGTCCATAATAACCCCTCAGTAATGAATCAATGCACCGATCTGTCAATTCAAACAATGCCACGCAGCAGTTCCATGGCATGAAAAACAATCTCCGGATTACTAGTTAGAGGGATACCCATACCAAATTAAAGAGGTTGTCAATCGTAACAAACACAATTTATCACTGGCAATATTTTCATCACCTCCAATGTGCAGTAAATGTCGAGGACGAATAGTTAGTAATGTGCAATCCATCAATTGATGCAATGGCGATGGAAATTCCACAGCCACACCAATCTGGAAATCCAAATTAAGCTGTAAACAAGTCAGTTCTGCAAAGCTACTGGGATGAACCTGCGCTTTGGCTGAGTCTTTGGCTCCGCTCTGGAACCAAATCGGCCTCCAACTCTCTATGCCAAAATGCAACTTTTCTACAAAGCTCACCAGCGGTAATCCCTGAATTAATCCAATGGTTGACCATCATAAAGAGCTGCCCTTCAACTGACCAATCGCGATTCTCAGGTTCTTCCTGAGAGTCGTTTTCATCCTGCTCATCATTCACCACAATGATTGGGACTGGTTCATCCCCATGACTCCCATGACTGCCATCACGAAGTGGTGACCGGCTTCGATCACGGGTAAGCTCCGGCATCGACATTGAGGAATGTAGGAAAGAAACAGATGGGGCCAAGAGCAGGCTTGAACCAAAACTCCTGTATCACTCAATTCCTGACTGGCAGATATTCCTGCTCCCACCCCACCCTGCACAACCCCACACTTTGTTTGCCAAGGCACTGTGAGCGTAGTTCTCAAGTGCATAGTTGACCAATGGTTGGCCTGTCTGCAGAACCAGCTTGATGCCCGAAGAAATGCCTTCTACCTTGAAAGGGACAACATTGGTGTCCAAGGGCTTCTCCAAAGAAATCGCCTGCCAATCATAGCAAACTGATCCAAAAGTCTGAATACTTGCTACCAGTAACCCTTTGACAGGATTGACCTTATGGATATGCATACGGAACTGAAAGCGGTGCCACACGCCGGCCTAGGGCTCCATTTCCTAAGAGTACCAGTAGGAAGCCATCGAATCCTGGAGGTCTTAAAAGGAAAGGAGGCCCAAAGCACAAGGTCGAGATCGGCGATCAGGTCGAAGTGACGGCGTTCCGTGCGTGACTGCCGCAAACTTTAAAAATTGTTGCAGGTACGTTCCCGAGGCGTCCCTCAGGAATATCACAACACGATGGAAGGGTCTTCGTTGGGCAATGCCTTCCAAAGTGTTCATTGCCCCCCTGCTAAGGACAAAAACAATTCAAACGAATCCCTGTGACTACAAGGGGCACACACACACGCCTCCCCGAGGGGAGGCATCTCTGCCCTAGAGCGTCCTTGCGCCTAGTAGTAAGGCCAGGAACCCCTAGAAGCATCAAAGTAGCGTCCTAGTAGTAAGGCCAGGAGCCCCTAGTAGCAACCCACACTAAGGTCGTGACGGGAGGGAGGGGTAGGGAGAGAAGAGAAAAAGAAAGAGAAGAAAGGAAAGGTGAAGAAGGTGTTCCCAGCTACGACACAAGCGTCCAAGGACACACCAAAGGAAGAGAGGAAAAGGGTTCCCAGCTATGACGAAAGCATCCAGGGACACCCAAGGAAGAGGGTAAAGAGAGGAAAGAGAGAAGGAAAGAAAGAGAGAGGGAGAGAAAGGGAGAGGAGAGAAAGGAAGGTGTTCCCAGCTACGAACAATCGTCCAGGGACACACCAAAGAAAGAGAGGGGAGATCCTGAGTATTCCATTCAGGAAAACCCCAGAAAGCAAAGAAAGAAAGGGGAAGGGAAGAGGGAGGAGGGGGGACTAAGCTCGCGACAGGTTCCAATGAACCTTGAACAAACTTCGGCCGCTGCGGCCACGTACGCCGTGCCAATATGGCTGGCTGCTTCGACCGCTGCGGTCACGTAAAGGCATGAACCAACTTGGAATTCCAAAGATGAGACAAAATCTGAATTCTCTCGGCCTAGGCCACCTACGCCCGCTCTGGGCACTTACATCTCCGGGCAGGGGAGATAACGACAAACCCCCGTTCGACGGGTCTACAGGAGGTGCGGGCTCATCACGGATTGGCACGAGGCCAAACACACTTATGGATACGGAACTGAAAGCGGTGCCACACGCCGGCCTAGGGCTCCATTTCCTAAGAGTACCAGTAGGAAGCCATCGAATCCTGGAGGTCTTAAAAGGAAAGGAGGCCCAAAGCACAAGGTCGAGATCGGCGATCAGGTCGAAGTGACGGCGTTCCGTGCGTGACTGCCGCAAACTTTAAAAATTGTTGCAGGTACGTTCCCGAGGCGTCCCTCAGGAATATCACAACACGATGGAAGGGTCTTCGTTGGGCAATGCCTTCCAAAGTGTTCATTGCCCCCCTGCTAAGGACAAAAACAATTCAAACGAATCCCTGTGACTACAAGGGGCACACACACAACACTTGTCCAAGAACAAACTTGGAGTAGACGTCCAATGGCCTGAAGCTGCCATGAGCTAAGGTCCAGGAAGGCGGTCTTTTCGTTGCCCCCCTCGACATTCTCAACTTTCAAAGGCCACACGCGAAGCTGGACATATGGAGCGTCGAACACCAGCCAAAACTCAGTGCCAATGTTCATCACCTGCCACTATATAATATATATATATGTTAATTAAATGATTTCACTCCCCCTGAATTCTGATTGTTGTGTCCTTTCAATTTACAATGCGTTGACCAATGAGGAATGTTAATAAATGAATTGTGTGGTCCTCCCTTGAATAAATAAATAGTAAGTAGAGTTTGTTGTGTATATATAATGTAAGTCCCACCAACTCAACTTGCTACTAGACTGCATTGGTTAGTCGTGGTGGATGCAGAAATGGCCTCAGCCACTATTAGTACCTATCATCAACAATTTATTCCCAACCCAAATCATCATTGTCCAAAGACACAAACACTCAATATTACAATACATACGACTACTCATCAGTCAGTGGAGTTCCAGTACAGTGCACCAACAAACACAACAAACACATCCGTGAGCTGGCACACAAACCTAACAAGCATTCAACAAACCAGCCTGGGCAGGTCGGGCAAGCTGTGCAGTCCAAAAGTTGGAAGTGTCGCAGTTTGTTCTCCTGATCGCCTGCCAAATGTTGAGGCTTTTTCTGACAAGATGGTGAGGGCTGGTGGTTTCCTTCTTCATGATCTGAT